GAAAGAGAGTCATGGCTTCAAGTTGTGCTTGCTTAATTTTAAGCAAAAGTTGATGAGCCTCTTCTAATTGGTCTTCTTTATTCGGTGTTGGAATCAGAGGAGCTTCCCTCTTAAATACTTGAGCTTCGGCCTTGTAGTCACCATTAGAAAGAGCTCGTTTAGCTTGTTTTACTTCTAGCACTTCTTTTATTTCCTTCGCCCTTCGGGGCTGAGCCATGATCAAATACTCCTAAATGGATACAATAGAACAAGTTAAGTGATGCATGAATAAAACACAATACAATCATAGCATTTAAATACAAACAAAGGGGAATGAGAGTTGTGAAATGCATGATCTCCACCCTTACATCTCCCATACATGATTCAAGTTCAGAGGTCTTATACAAACAAAGGGGAATGAGAGTTGTGAAATGCATGATCTCCACCCTTACATCTCCCATACATGATTCAAGTTCAGAGGTCTTTCTAAAACCCTAGGACATATTAGTTGGGCCCATAAACCATTATGGGATTTTCGACCAACGGTTCTTACATTTATTGTATGAATGAAACAATCATAAATTATTATGATAATCCTAAAGGAATGGACTAGGGTCAATTACATGAGCTTTGGTCGGGTTTATTAAGTTTTGGGTTCCATAAGCGAGAATTGGTTGTTTCCTCCCATTTAGCTTTGGGTCTAAGACAATGGTAATAGCGGATTGTGCCAATTCTTTTGATATACCAAAAGGTACTTAACTTATGGGTGGTGTATATTAGTGGCTGATCCCAACAGTCGAATAGAGTGAAAGGATCATAATCCCGATACCACCTTTAGGGTTTAAGGTAGAAAAGAGATTAGGAAGAGATAAATGCATGAATGACATTTATAAGTACAAAAAGTAAACTCAGTCCAAAGTTAATAGTATTATTAAAAATTGTGAATAATGGACAACTTTTGGAGTCAACCCTACTCCAACCCAAAATCGAAAATCAGAGATTCAGAGTTTGATCTCTAGCGAAGTCGCCAGGCTAAGGACGCGTGGATTTTTCCATGGGAGGAAAGAATTGAAGCGAAGCGGCTTCGTTGATTTTATTTTGTAAAGCAGTTTTCTTTAATTAAACCTGTTTATTAATCCTCAAAAATGGCGATCCTTTTGAAAAAGGGATTGTAAAAAGATCTCTTACATTGGTAAAAGTTTTTAATTTGGAGTCGACAACCTCTTTAGTCGAAATTCTCGAATTAGTCGATTCTTTGGAATCGACTAACTCGGTTTTACGAATTAGTCGATTCTTTGGAATCGACTAACTCGGTTTTAAACCAGAGATAGGGTTCAAGAGTTAGGTACGATATTGGAAAGGTGTTAGGCACTCATATCGTCCGGTTAAACTGGCCTCCTCGTTGTCCATTAATTCACAATGATTTAATAATACAATTAAGTAATTAAATACTTTTTAATGCAATTTTGGAAAACATGTCAATCAAGCATTTTGTTGTAAAGCATTAAATAATCATGCAAAGAAAAGGGGAAAGGACAAAAAAATTACAACCATCTCCTATTAATACAATCTACCCTCATCCCTTTAGAATTTTCCAACCAAACTAATTATTACATTAAAGCAACATTAGGAATCCATTTAGGACCTTTACATTACGCTAATAACAATATAAAACTATAACAATAAAGAAAAGGAATCCATACAACACAAATCCGAGCATAAAACATATTCACTGAATCACAACCCTATACACAGAATCATAAACATTCATTTATCCAACAAATGATTAAATGATGCATGTTTATGTTCAAGAGTTAATGAATAATGGGTTAATGCAACAATAATCATAATACAATAAATTAAACGGCATAAATTTAAAGGACAGAATATTAGAAGTACTTGAAAGTAAAGAACATTAATTTAAAAGGCAATAACTAAAGATTAAAGCAAGATTTGAGTTCAAGGCCTTGATGTTCATCATGAATATGAATAAATACACCCATCACTACTCAAAATCTTGTTTATTAATGTTTATTAAACCCATTTATGGACAAAAACGCATCTCAGACCAATTAAGGTTGGAGCTTTGCCACTAGATATCCAAATCGGGACAATTTTATTAATTATTACCGTTCTAGCCTTCTGAAACGAAGTGCCAAGTGCTACAGCTAAAGTGGGGTGTGCCACATGGGAGTGTGGTGTGCGCCACACGTAGTGGCACCAAGCCCTTCCTTGATCAGGAAGGTTCCAGATTGGAACATAGTCAACAGGGGCAGATCTATGGTGAAGTGGCGCGAGCCACTTGCTTGTGGCACACGTCACATGTAGTGGCTTGCACCACTACGGCTATTAGCATGCCACTTGGGCACAAAAAACCTCTTTTGGTTGATCTTGAGTTTTTCTCACAACCAGACTCAAAAGTGGTGATTTAACACCAAAAGAAAAAGGAAAAGAGATGGGAAAATGGATTAAAAGCCCTCAGAAACTACGTTTTTGAAGAGTGTCCAAAGTTTTTATGAGAATGGATGAAAAAACCCAAAAGTTGAGTTTTTTGATCCAATAATCTGAGTTTGAGATTAGATCTATGTGTTTCTAGGATTTTCAATGAATCCTTAAGGTGTTTCTGATTAGAAATGGATGAATCACAACTTAAACAAAAGAGAAACACAAGTTTAACTTTGATTTTGAGTTGAATTTTGAAAATACAAGAGTTTCCTTAAGGTTTCCAAAAATCCTTCTTTTACACAATTCTCTATGTGCTATTGGTCGGCAAATGAGAATGAATAGCCCTATTTTAGGGCTTATGTGGCAAAAATGCCACTGGTGGGCCCCAAAATAAGGCGAGCCTATTTTTACAAAATTGAACTAGGTGACACGCAAAATGAGGCGGTGCACCGAGAAGTGTACCAGGCGAGCCCAACACGTTTCTCGAGCCCGGTTTGATCGCAAAACGTCTGATGATCCAAAAAAGTAAAAATAGTTAACACGTGTATCATCTGAGCTGCGGACCATTGATCCAAAAATCGAGACGATCGAGAAGCCCGATCTAAACATATGTGGAAAACGGTTTATCATCCCTTAGCTTTTAGAGGCAAAATTTGAGTGTCTAAACACACACCAAAATATAAGTTTAATGTATTTCTTAATTGCTTAAGGCCAAATTGGCAGTAACTTTTTATGATGGGAAGGACTCATACCCAAAATTTGATCAATCAAACTATATCTGGTTGGCTTAAGTATAATCAATTTAAATTGCTATTATGTTTGAATTTATGTATTTTTACATAATTAATAAATGGAACTGATCGTAATAGTCACAAATCCAACACAGAGCACTTCTTTTCGGTAGATAGAATCCTGTAAATTTGTCTCTAGAAGGAATGAAAATATTATAGAGAGAATCCTTTAAATTTGTCTCTAGAAGCAATGGAAAGCATTAAAGCATGTGTGAAAAAGAGAAAGGGTGGGATTCCTTTTGAACATCGCTTCATAAAAGCTTCAAAATGAATGGAATATATACAATTATGAAGACTATGCAGACTACTAAAATAATTTTTTATGCTCATGCCTTAAAAAGATTCATTTGTTCACATTATTTTTAATGCTCATGCCTTAAATCTTTTTATGATTTGATCATATTTTTGTGTGAAGATTAATCAATTAATTAATTGTCATTAGGCCTTTTGCCACGTGATCATATTCTCACTCTTTGCAATATTGTATTAACTATTTGGATTAAAGCTCAATTTGCTTTTAATTTTTTTTTCTTGTGATGTATATTTTAACCAAAAGTAAATATAAATGTGGATGGCCAGCTCACATTCACAAATGCAATAGGAAAAAAAAATGGTTGTATGAAATATTTAAAATTTTTAACACATTATTTAACATATTACTTATAACGTTCGGTGATATAACTTTTATATTAACTTTTAATTAGAGGTTGAGAGAATTTTATATGAACCGTTGAATAGTCTTACGTTTAACTTTTAACATTTATATTTATCTTTTATTTTTTTTTTTTTACAATCATATTCATTGTTTTTTCGTCCGAATTTAGCTAATTAAACAATTAATGTCCTTTAAATAGTTATTTTTATTGAATACTTTTAATTTAAACCATTATATATAAATAGCTACTAGCTAAAAACTAATAGTTAATCGATAATAGAATAACTAATGACTATTATAATAGCTAACAACTACTAAAATAACTAATATTGTTGAATTAATCATAAAGATAAATTTTAATAATAATTAGATTTGTTATTTAAAATATATTTACATGGTATAAGTACTATAACGATATATTAATTTAGTATGATAATCTGATTTAATTTTTTTAATTGTACCCTATTCTAAGATCTTTAATTATTTTAACATAATTTGGATTAGGTCTTTGAGAGAAGAAAACCATGGGATAGATTTGTTGCCCTTCCATCAAAAAGAGTCACTTGGCACATTTTTTTTACACCGCCAAAGAGACTGTCATGGTCTACAATTCCATTTCTTCAAGTGGTGAGTTCCTTGGTGGGTCAAAGAGATATGTTTTGGGTTATGAAACAAATTAGGAAAATGTTTTCCCGCAAAAAGAAGAAAGATCATTTTCCTTTAATTTATTTATCATTAACTTATTTTTTTTAATACTCCAAACACTGTAAAATTGTAAAAGCAAGTTACGGAGACAAACAGAATTTTAGTAACACTTCTTATTCAGCATTTTTAAAATTATTATTCTCTAAAAATAAATTTAAATTATAGAATAATGACAAACTTTGGTTTACTTATACTAAACCTTATAAAATTTAATCTTTATGCAAATATTTTTATTTAACAGAAAAAGTAAAAAATTTCAAATAAATTTCATAAAGTAATTATACCAAACGAGTTCTTAATCATATTATATTTCTGCATTGGTTATCAGTTTCAAATCCAAGTTTCCTATCCCCTTCCCCATATAGTTCATAATTAAAACAATAAAAAATTAATGCTTCCAACTCCAAACACAGTCATAGGAAGAATCCAGGAAAGGTCATGCATGAAGAATCCAGGAAGAATCCAAATGTAGGCAAATATTTTCCTTTCTGTTACTATATAAAGTCAGGATGACAGTTAACATCTCTGCAATCTCTAGTTTTACTTCATCTTCCTTCCTGCTCCATTTATATTAACATCTCTGCAATCTCATACCAAAACAAGATGGCCTCGTCTTCAGCTGAAACCAATCTAGCCACAGCAAAGACTGTCCTATCCACGGCAGCCTCTGTGGCAGCCACGGTGATGCTTGCGCGATCAGTAGCTCAAGATCTTTTACCCCGTGAATTCCATGACTACTTTTTCTTTAATATTCGCAAATTCTTCAATCGTTTCTCTTCCCAGATCACAATTGTCATTGATGAATTTCACGGTTTCGGACGCAACCAAATGTTTAAAGCTGCAGAGACTTATTTGGGTAGCAAAATTTCTCCATCAACACAAAGATTCAAAGTAAGCAAATCTAAAAAAGAAAAGAATTTTACATTCAAAATGGAAAGAAATGAAGAAATCATAGATGTCTTTCAAGGTGTTAAGTTCAAATGGGTTTTCGTTTGCCAACAAGTTCAATCAAAAAACTATTATCATCCTTCTGATCAAAATTCCAGTTTAAGATCAGAAATCAGGTCTTTTGAGGTAAGTTTTCCCATGAAACAAAAAGAAATGGTTCTTGAATCTTATTTTCCTTATATGATTAAAGAAGCAAAATCTATAGCTCAAGAAAAGAAGAGTTTAAAGATTTTTACACTAGACTGTGAGGATATGAATGACTGGATACCTGTGAAACTTGATCATCCGGCGACTTTTGAAACGATTGCTTTAGAAACCAAGTTAAAGATAGAATCATGAAAGATCTTGAAAGATTTGTAAAAAGGAAAGACTATTACAGAAGAGTGGGGAAGGCATGGAAAAGAGGGTATTTGCTGTATGGGCCGCCTGGGACGTGAAAATCAAGCTTGATTGCTGCAATGGCGAATTATTTGAATTTTGATATATATGATTTGGAGTTGACTGAGTTGACCTCCAATTCTCAGCTGAGAAGATTGCTTATTTCTACTGGGAATCGGTCGATTTTGGTGGTTGAAGATATTGATTGTAGCCTTGAGTTGCAGGATCGATTGGCTGAAGCAAGTGATGAACAATCTGACCATCGTTCTTCCCCAAAAAAGAAGGTAAATATGCTTCTAATTTTCCATTTTTTTAGGTTAAAATCTCTTCTTTTCTTTGCTTTAACATAATAAACAATAGTTTGTATCTCAAAATCAATATTTTCAATTTTTGCTTTTAAAAATATATATGAAAAACTGAATAAATATAGTCCCTCCGTCCCATTTTGTTCGCTTGATATTCCTTTTTGAATGTTTCAAAATATTTGCAAAATTTCTAAATTTGTATATTTAAATAATTATTTTTCACATAATTTATTAAATGAAAGACTTTTATTAATATCTTAATGAGTTATTGAGGGTAAAGAAGGATAAAATAATTTGTCTGACTAAATTCTTAATATGTGTATTTTGTCGAACTGCAAACAAAATGGGACGGAGGGAGAAATATTTGGTTATCTTGCAGACTTATGTAGTTATGAACTTCGACAGGTGACATTATCAGGATTGCTGAATTTTATAGATGGACTTTGGTCAAGTTGCGGAGATGAAAGAATTATAGTTTTAACTACGAATCACAAAGAAAAGCTGGACCCAGCATTGTTAAGGCCTGGGCGCATGGATGTTCATGTTCACATGTCTTATTGCACCCCATGTGGATTTAGGCTTCTTGCTTCTAATTACGTTGGGATTAATGATCATTTCTTGTTTCAAGAGATTGAGGAATTCATTTCTACAACGCAAGTCACCCCAGCTGAAGTTGCAGAGCAGCTTATGAGAAGTGATGAACCAGAGACTGTGCTTGTTGAGCTAATTCAATTCCTCAAAGTGAAAAAGAAAGAAAATGATGAAGAGAAGGCTAAGGAAAGTGCAGTAGTGGTGGATAGAGAACAAGAGCAAACTGTGGAAAATGAAGATGATGATGATGAAAATGACAATTAACCAGTTTGGTATATATAGTTATTATTTCTGGCTTTTGGTTTTTGTTTCTCAAAGAATAAAGATCTATTATTAACTTTTTTTTTATTTAAATTTCCCTTCAAAAATTTTTTCCGATCATACTTTGCTTTTGTGTTGATATTAATTTGATTAGAAAGGATATTAAAGATAAAGGATTCCATTTCAAACTATTTTTCAAGATAACAAATTTTAGAGTAGAAAACCTGACGCTAAGCCTGGAGTTACTAATCCAATAGCAAGCAACCTGTAACCAATAAATAATAGCATTCTTCTTAATTTTCTCTTCATATGATATTGATCATAAAAATAAAACAATTCTTCAAATTATCAAAGGAATTGTATTTGTAATTCCATAAATAATGAATCAATTTGCACATTAATCAGATTAGAAAGTCTGATTTTCTCCATTATTTTCTTCACATAATAAAATTATTTCTAAAGATGAATTAAAGCCCATTTAATTGTTAGTTAAGTGCTAATTGATCAAATCCTTAAAAAATTGTCTTTCTTTTCTTTTCTGCATAATTTTTGTGAATGGCAATAAAAAAAATTTAAGAAATGCATCTGTTCACAATTCTTATTTAAGAGATTTTATAGTCAAATTACGTTGAAAAATAAAAAATAAAAATGTATTATGCGGAGTATTTCTTAGAGATTGATAAAGTATTAATCACCATTAGCCTAGCTTGAGGAGCAGAAAGAAACATGTAGCCAAGAACAACTTGCCAACTCCTTCGTAATATAGAAACAAATAGAGAGCCGGCAAGTCATCCTTGGCTGCACAATGCTTTCCGACCCAACATGCAAGGCTGTTAGTGAGATAGAAACTATACAAGAACGAATTATATTTTTGCTATTTCTTCTTCTTTATATATATATATATATATATACATATATATAAAATAGATGTGATACATGCAGTACAGGTGTTTGTATATGTTCTTTTGCATGATAAAGAAAGGCTAAAAGAAATGCATGAGAAAGAGGAATGCAAGGAGAACGCATGGAACTAAGGGGTTTCATTTTTTTTTTTTTTTTTTTTTTTTTTTTTTTTTTCAATTTGATCCTTAATATTAGATATTTATTTTGATTTAAAATAAGTTTTAGAAGATAAACTTCAGATTAGTTGCTCCATTAAGGAAAACACCTAGGATTAGTACATGGTAAAAACGAAATACAAAATTAAGAATAAAAATTTATGTTTCTTTAATTGTAATAAATTAATTATGTGATTATTCATAATACTACTTACTATATCATATATGTTGGATGAGAATTTGATTATCCTTGCTTAGAGTTTCTATTTCTTTGTTTCTCATAATATAGATTTTCTCTCTTCCCTTTCACTTAAGATTTGAAGGTAGCAAAGCAAGTCAAACTTGGATTTGCATTTTTCCATTAAATACTTCTATTATCATTTCCTTAAAAATCACTATAGTCAATGTGTCTGAAGAAGACTATTTCTATATTTGCACCGATGACAATAGATATATTATCAAGATGGTTAAATGAGATTCTCCGAAATTTTCTTGGTTTACTTTCAAACCAAATGGTTGTTCCAAACACTACAAAAAATTCGCTTATTTGCGATCGACAAATTGGTCGCAAAATGTAATAAATCGGTTGCTAAATACCATCAGCGACCGATTATTATCAGTCGCAAAAGTGCTCATCGCAAAATTTTTTGCCACCGAATTACTAATCAGTCGCTAATTTGCAACCTAAATATCGGTCGCAAAAATATAAATATTGATCACAAAAGTTGATCGTGTCTTCCTTCTGAAATTCTATCACAAATGGGTCGCAGATTGTGTCTGTCGCAATTTACTAAATGTGGTTGCAAACCGGTCGCAAATGTTGAAAGTTGTTCGTTATATATTTATTGTAGTTCGGTCGCAAATCCGTCGCAAATATACAATTAAAAAAAATTTTAATAATACTAAAAATCATAATTTTCTGCACCTGTGAAAACCGGTATAAATAAATAAATATATATATATATATATATATATATATATATATATATATATATATATATATATATCTCAAAATCACAACAAAATAACAATATAAAAATGTAATTGTTAATGTAATTTATTGTACAAAATATGAAAAAACCATAAAAAGCTAAAAAGGTCCAAAATCAAATCTACGAGGTTGGTTATCTACACGATCCAATGTCCTATCACCGAGAGGAGTACCTGTTGGATGTGTCGTAGTGTCAGCAGGAGTAACCAAGGTATCGTTTGCAGTATTGGGATCAAGACGAGACGGTAATGGTTGCTGCTGAGCTATTGAAATATCTCAATCTATAGCAGGCGCAGGGTCAGAGGAAGAAGTACCTGCACCAGGCTCACCGGACAGTTGCATGACATGCGCTTTAAGCTCTGCAAGCTGTCTCTCCTGCTCATCAACACGAGCCCGTAATGCAGTAAACTCCTCGGCACTGTGCTGGGGCTGTGGTCTTGAGCTGGCTACAGAAGCGTTACATGCTGAGCCGCAGTAAAACTGTGATGCATGAGACCTAATGCCATATACTTTCCTCTTCTTTTCGCCTCCTGCAGCCTCCAGATAAAGTGCTAACTCATCAATTCTTGACTTAGCTTCAGATTCAGTCTGAGAAGAAACAAGACGCTCACGAGCTGTACTCGAGCTGTACTATAGTTCTCCTGAAAATAATAAATTAATTAATCAATGCAGTTGCAAGCTTTATTATATTGAACTTGTACACGTAAGCAACGACTAGAACGTAAATGTAAATATTCTTCATTGTTACTTACATTAATGCCCATTGCACCTCTGTCGACAAATGTATTTCCATCATGGCCCTTCGTGTGAGTGTAAGTAAACACCTCCATCGATGTGGGCTCACGACCATATTTTTCAGCCTGTAATGAATTTTTATGCATGAATATTAATATAGTGTCATTTCATTATCAGTTTTGTAACTGTACTGTGACTAGTTGACTCACTAATAATCGAGATGTCTCTATAGCAGATATTGATCCGCCTGTGTGTCGAGAAGGTCTTGCTCCATCACCGTCAGTTTCACTGTGCCTGTTTTGTGCAAATATCTCACGCTTTCTCTTGAATGCAGGATCCTCCCAAGCCTTTTGCTAGATCTCCCATATCTCTTGAGACACGCACTGCTTCTTACCGCTTTTTCGCATCCTATAGGTGAAGTCAGCATATTGTAGAGCACATAATTTCTCCCAAGCCACTTTTAGCATAACTGTAATTGCCTCTTCCCATACGAAATGCTTCTGCAAAAATGAAAAATAAATAAAATTTCATAAAGAGAGGTAGTATTAATTTAACATTGAATGAAGATATAAACTTAAACCAAATCGTACCATGGAATCTCATTGCAATAAAACATCTCTCGCCTCTTGTGGTACGACATCCCATTTGTATCCTTTTTTTTTTTCTTTATCGAGGGTTGTGGTTAGCTCGATTATCCTCACAATTTGCCTGATCTTGAGAGGCATGGATATATGCTAAAAGAAAAAAAACACAATGAAATATAAGTAGATAAAGTGAAATATAAGTAGATGAAAGCATCAAAATCTGAACAAAACCAAGTACAAAGGAAAAAGTAAATAAGTACTTACTGTCCCGCTACCAAACTAAGCATGTTACGTGGCTCTGATGAAGCTGCAAAAGAAGTGACAAATGCTATAAATTCAGATAAATAATTAATATATAACTGAAATGACAGTAATGACATTTGTGATTACCTGGTGCAGTAGGTGACTGTGAAGCTATTGAAGACTCTACTGGTCCAGGAAATGGGGTAGAAGAGGAAGGAATAGAAGGAAGTGATGGCAGCACGGGAGGCTGAGTAGAGGATGAAGCCCCAGATGTACCTGACGAAGAAGGAGGAGGGATAGTCCCTCCTCGTCCACGTGTATTGTATCCTCGACCACAACCTCCACGCGAACCACTGTCGAACGCGTCTGAATCAAACGCCCTGTCTCTAACCATCTGTACTACAGATACCAGAACCGACATATGTATGTATACAATTATATGAATTGCAGAACATGTGGTAAATATGTATAAAAAAAGTGAATAACATTAAAATTCTTCATTTTTTAGTGTTATATATACATCTATCAATTTATAACATTAAAATTGTTCGAACTATTAAGTGTCTTCATCATCATCTGCTTCCTCTTCTTCTTCTTCTCTGCTTCCTCTTCTTCTTCTTCTTCTTCTTCTTCTTCTTCTTCTTCTTCTTCCTCTTCTTGATATTCATCTTCTAAGGTACCCATGATGATTTAATCTTCTTCCTCTTCATCATTCGATGCTCCTATTTCAACATAAGTTCCACTTTTATCATCCAATCTATCCATTAAATCTTCAACAACTTGCATCGGTTGCGTATTAACCCCAACTTCTTGAAATGGCTCCGATACTGCGAGTGAAGTAGAATGTTTGGTTTCAGCTGCATGAACAATTGATCTAGGCTTGATTTTACACACTGTCATCCAATCGCAACGATCTCGTTTAAATGATGGATATGGGACATAGTACACTTGTGCAGCTTGCATTGCCAACACAAAAGGTACAAAAGGTTCATACTTTGTATTGTTTTACTTTGATTAATATCCAACAAGATGTATTACTTAGGATGAACCTGCATGCCAGCGATTTGGCGTAGATCGAAAACCATTCACATTTGAATAAGATTGTTGCACTTGATTGGTAGGCCTGGATATTCTAACTCCAAAAACCTCAACCAATTTGCCAATTAAAAAATCATTTGACACGTCACATAGCCTTGATCCCTTTATGCAAAACAACCACTATTCATTTGTCTTTCACTTCTCCCATAACCCTCAGTGTGAAAACTTATAAACCCATTACAAAGAGCCAGAGTTAAGCATTAGCAATCGGTAGAGATCCCTTTGCTTTGCCAGATCCGTAATAAATCTGTTACAAATATCGATTCCCGAGCTTCTAGCCTATGGGAAATAGTAATGACATGAGTGAGATTTAATAAATGTACATTCCATGTTGTGTACATTGAAAGCAACTTACATAATATTTGAACCATTCTGCAA